TGTTGGATTTCTGCCTGTCACACATCTAACAAAGTCAAGGAGCCTTCCATAATGCTCATCCTTACAGGAGAGCATTACCCTTGAGGAGGAAAGCACAGCCTGTTGGATTTCTGCCTAGCACACATCTAAAAAAGTCAAGAAGCCTTCCATAATGTTCATCCTTATAATAGAGCATTGTCCTTTAGGCAGAAAGCACAACCTGTTGGATTTCTGCCTGACACACATTTCACAAAGTCTAGGAACCTTTCACCATGCTTTGGAGTAAAGCCCTTGAGGAGGAAAGGACAACCTGTTGGATTTCTGCCTGTCACACATCTAACCAAGTCAAGGAGCCTTCCACAATGCTCGTCTTTGGAGTAAAGCATTGCCCTTGGGGAGGAAAGCACCACCTGTTGGATGCCTGCCTGGCTGCCCTTCAATGCCTTGCATGCTCCCCATCTCCTTACGGTCAATGCAGGAGGCAATCCCCCTTCGCCCGCCTGCCTCTCTCCAGCCATGCCTCCAGCGAAGCCCCAGCCGGCAGCAGCCCCTCCAAGCCATGGCCAAGCTTTAGGCCAGCCAAGCCCTGGAAGGAAGGCCGCGGAGCCTTCTTGGTGTTGTAGTTTCCCGTAGTGCACATTGCCATTATTCTCTACCGGGTGTCTATGCCAAGAGACTACAACGCCCAGGAGGCAACGCTGCCAGCCGCTAGGCCTACTGTTTCTTTAATTCTCAGGCTCTGCCTTCCTATTGGTCACAAAGAGGGGGCCGGTCTTAAAGGCGCAGAGATAGTTTGCATAACAATTATTTGTCCTCCGAATAGTGTCAAAATAGTGGGAGGTATTTATTTGAAGCTTGCAGAGGAGTGGAAGCCGTTGCAGTGAACTTGCAAACATCAAGAGGAAGCATCCAGATATCTCATATTCCTGCTGCCACTGCAAATATATATATATCAGGTACATTATTTTGTTTTCCTGCACTTCAGTTGTTTTTTTTTAATACTAGCCGTCCCCTGCCACACGTTGCTGTGGCCCACATGGGGGTTCTGTGTGGGAGGTTTGGCCCAATTTTATCATTGGTGGGGTTCAGAATGCTCTGTGATTGTAGGTGAACTATAAATCCCAGCAACTACAACTCCCAAATGTCAAGATTCTATTTTCCCCAAACTCCACCAGTGTTCACATTTGGGCATATTGAGTATTCGTGCAGAGTTTGCTCCAGATCCATCATTGTTTGTCCACAGTGCTGTTTGGATGTAGGTGAACTACAACTCCAAAACCCAAGGTCAATGCCTAGCAAACCCTTCCATTATTTTCTGTTGGTCATGGGAGTTCTGTGTGCCAAGTTTGGTTCAATTCCATCGTTGGTGGGGTTCAGAATGCTCTTTGATTGTAGGTGAACTATAAACCACAACTCCCAAATGACAAAATCATTTTTTTTGAGTGAAGGACATACATTGGGTTGTTAGGTGTCTTGTGTCCAAATTTGGTGTCAATTCATCCAGTGGTTTTTGAGTTCTGTTAATCCCACAAGCGAACTTTACATTTTTATTTATATTTATATAGATGTATGCATGTATGCATGTACTCTATGCATTGGAACAATTAAGGTGCATTGTTTTCCTGCAAATCAATTGTTGTTGTTGTTTTTAATATGCATGCATGTTCTCTATGCATCGGAACAAGTGAAGTCCATTGTTTTCCTGCACTTCAATTGTTTTTTTTATATGTATGCATATTATCTATGCATTGGAACAATTGAAATGCATTGTTTTCCTGCACTTCATTTGTGTATGTGTATATATATATATATTTATAGGCATGTTCTCTATGCATTGGATCAACAGATAGCACAATGCAGCCTGGCTCACTTCCTTGAGTGAGGTCAAGTTATGTGCACCTACACCAGACAAATGCAAACTTGGGCCCTCCAGGTGTTTTGGACTTCAACTCCTACAATTTCTAACAGCCGTAGGCTGTTAAGAATTGTGAGAGTTGAAGTCCAAAACACCTGGAGGGCCCAAGTCTGACCATGTCTGACCTACACTTCAATTCAGCTGTCTCCTGGGATTGCCACATTGACGATCCATACTTTGTTTTTTAATATGATAATGAGGTCAGGACTATTGTAGAGTTGTTGTTGTTGTTGTTGTTGTTATTATTATTATTATTATTATTATTATTTGAAACACAACAACGACCCACCTCAAAGCTTAAGATCTTCTGGGGAGGCCCTGCTCTCGACCCCGCCACTGTCACAAGTGAGGCTGGCGGGGACGAGGAGCAGGGCCTTCTCAGTGGTGGCCCCCCACCTGTGGAACTCACTCCCCGGGGAGATTAGATCGTCATCTTCCCTTTTGGCGTTTAGGAAAAAACTGAAGACCTGGATCTGGGATCAAGCCTTTGGTCATTCTGACAGCTAACTGAAGGATCTGATGATAGACAAGGACAAATGGAATGGAATGGATATATGGACTCTGAACCCTGAGCATGAGACTGTTTTATTATTTTATTATGTACCGATGTTTTTAATTAATTGTTGAATTGTTTGTATTTGTATTGCTTGTGAATTGTTTTGGGCATCTAATTGTGCCCCCACTGTAAGCCGCCCTGAGCCCCCCCCCCCCCCCGGGGTGAGAAGGGCGGGGTATAAGTAAATGAAATAAATAAATAAAAGTATAAGTAAATGAAATAAATAAATAAATAAAATAGTACACAGTAAACAAGGTTACTCTGCTGGGTGCTGTATTGGATCACATGTCGAACACTTCCCAAGTGTCTAGGACTGTGTGATGTATTGCCGAATTATTTATTTATTTATTTACTCTGCTTATATACCGCTGTTCTCAGCCCGAAGGCGACTCACAGCGGTTTACAACAAATAAGAACAGCAAAAATTCAACACTACAATGTAAAAACAGTTAACTACCTAACACATTACACAATTAATAAACAATTAATAAACAATAAACAATGCGTACAGATCCCAGTAAGGTGGCCTTTTGCAGCTGGCAGATGGTAATTTCATCAGCGCCAATTGTGTTTAAGTGCAAGCCAAGGTCTTTAGGTACTGCACCCAGTGTGCCGATCACCACTGGGACTACCTTGACTGGCTTGTGCCAGAGTCTTTGCAGTTCGGTCTTTAAATCTTTGTATCGTGTCAGCTTTTCCAGTTGCTTCTCTTCAATTCAGCTGTCTCCTGGGATTGTCACATTGACGATCCATACTTTGTTTTCTAATATGATAATGAGGTCAGGACTATTGTGCTGCAATTACTCCTACTACTACTACTACTACTTGAAACACAACAAGATGAGTCCACAGCAGACACTCTGTTGGCTGTTGGATTGGATCTAGAACTGTGTGATGTATCTGCAAATAATGGGTGCAGATCCCAGTAAGGTGGCCTTCTGCAGCTAGCAGATGGTAATCTTGTTAGCGCTGACTGTGTTTAAGTGCAGGCCAAGGTCTTTAGGCATTGCACCCAGTGTGCCGATCACCACTGGGACCACCTTGAATGGCTTGTGCCAGAGTCTTTGCAGTTCGATCTTTAAATTATTATTATTATTATTATTATTATTATTATTATTATCTCATCTCTCCTTTTGGCTCAAGGCAGGTAACAGCCTAATTAGAATTAATAGAATTGATGCAATGTATTGTCGAATGCTTTCATGGCCAGAATCACTGGGTTGCTATATGTTTTTTAGGCTGTATGGCCATGTTCCAGAAGCATTCTCTCCTGAAGTTTCACCTGCATCTATGGCAGGCATCCTCACAACCTCCCATAGATGCAGGTGAAATGTAAGGACAGAATGCTTCTGGAACATGGCCATACAACCTGGAAAACTCACAGCAACCCAGTGATTCCGGCCATGAAAACCTTCAACAACACATGGAAATTGAACTGCATGGCAAATTTTGCAAGATGCTTTTCATTTTGCGTTTTATATTTCATCGCTGTTTTAGCTTCCAGAATTCGTTTCTTGCCATCAGGAAGAGGAGCAATAAAACCAGAGGGCATCAAATCCCTTCTGCACACATGCTTTGTGAGTTTGTGGTGTTATCCATGAGGCTGTTTTCACAGGTGCCCCAAGGCCTTGTGAGTGGTTGAAGAATGCCTTTGCGTGGCAAGAAAAGAGGCAGAGGAGCATTATCAGGTCAGTATGGAAACCAGGCCCAATTATTCTTCTAAGGGTGCATCTCTACACTGTAGAATTAAGGCAATTAGAGACCACTTTAACAGTCATGGCTCCATGCTATGGCGTCCTGGGACGTGCAGTTTGATGAGAAAGCTAAAGACCTTGCAAAGCTACTATTTTCATGGTTCCATAGCACTGAGCCAAGGTGATGACAATGGTGTGAATGCATTAATTCTACAGTGTAAAAGCACCCCTGATCTTTTGTTTCTGGTGGCTTAAAAAAGAGACCTATTCTCTTATTACAGTATTATGGATCATTTCCGAAGTATAAACACGAATAGCTTAAGCCCACTATAGGGATATTTGTCCCCAAGTTACATTCTATAGGTTTGTTCTTAAGTAGAATTTGTTTGTAAGTCGGAACAGGTACATTTTTAAGTTTAACTCCAGCCATATGGAGTAACTTGAGACTGGAGATATACACACACACACACACACACATACACACACACACACACACACACACACACCATATATGTGTGTGTGTATTTGTGTGTGTTACCTCAAGTTACACCATAGGCTGGAGTTACACTTAAAATGTACCAGTTCCGACTTACTTGGGATAACACAAACACACATCTATCTATCTATATAGAAGCTTTGGATAGCATATATATATACACACACACACACACACATATACACACACACACATATATAGATATCTAGATATATACATACATACATATATATATACACACACACACACACACACATACAGATATACATATATATACATACACACACACATATATACATACACATGTGTGTGTGCTTTGGATAGCATAGGGAAGGGTGGACACCCTAGTGGGGTTTCCTTTGCTGCTTGTGTCGCTTATTGTGATTGTATTTTTGTACTGTTTTTAATGTATTCTTATGTTTTATTTATTTTATTGCTATGTTTGTTTTGTGTTTTTGATTTTATTTTGTTGTAATGCACTACTGGGCTTGGCCTCATGTAAGCCGCCCCAAGTCCCCATTAGGGAGATGGTGGCAAGGTATAAATACAGATTCTTCTTCTTCTTCTTCTTCTTCTTCTTATTATTATTATTATTATTATTATTATTTCACTGACACAAAGACACAGTATGTCACAGCAAGCGAGATCTATATGCTGGGTTTCGTATCACAAAATCACAAGTCGAACACTTCCCAAATGTCTGGGACTGTGTGATGTATTTTCGAATGATGCGCGCAGATCCAAGTCAGGTAGCCTTTTGCAGTTGATAATAATAATGATAATGATGATGATGATGATGATGATGATGATGATGATGATGATGATGATGTCGCTGTTCAGAAGATTTCCCCTCTCTTTCCCTGTGATAACTAGATTGTGATAAAACTGGCTTACTTCCTTTTAATTCTTGTTTGCTCCAAGCTACAAAGGAACCTGATT